CAGCAAAATTGTAAACTAAATCTGAACCACCACTTCCCCTCTGAACATGTTGACAGATGGTGCCACAAGAAATAATTGCATTTACAGAGGGATATCGGAGATGATGGCACAGCATAGCTACACTCGGACTTATAAGCAGTGCCGGGATAAGCTAAAGAAAAACTTAAATCCAATTGTAGGGCAATTGAGGACCACAATGGGTAGAGTGGCTCAAATACAATGACCAGTTATGATACTGTCCACTTTGCATTGAAAATCACACCCACAAAGTGGGCAAACAAGTCAGAATAGAAAATCGTATACAACTGGGAAAAACTGATAAAAGCCGAATGGAGTCACACTTGTTAAAAACAATGCAGCTTAAGTGTATCTGATACCAGACCATCTTGATTCTGTAATATGTGACATAAGACATGCAGCTCCATATCTTGCACTCTTGGGTGGAGAGGGCCAGAACTGTCAGCTGATCAATACTTGGTGGTGAGTTGTGTCTGGTTGTGAAGGAAGCTACCTTATTCATAGTGAAGGTCAACTGGGAACATCTGGCAGAATCCCCTGTCCATGTGATCTTTAACTCACACCTCTGGGAGAAGTTTTCACATGTCCCGGGGAGGTCAGGGACATGGAATCCCAAAGAGCCATGTTCAAGGCTTTCATTGCAGATGTGGCTTCCAGGAGCTATGGCCTGAAGGTCATTGGTTCCTGTAATGGTGGCAACCAAATAACCTGCTGTTGGACACCAGTAGTGATGGAGGCCATCAAGCTAGTGAAGAAGGTCTTCAGGGCTTGGATGTCCTGGAGGACTCTTGAAGCAACTGACCAGTAGAAGGTGACCTGAAAGACTGTGGCTTCAATGGTTGCTGATGCAAAAACTCTGGCATGGGTGGAATTTGGAGAGGTCATAAAGAAGGATTTTCAGTTGACCTTGAGAAAATTCTAGTAAACCATTTGGCACCTCAGGAAGTCAAGTAAGCCTCCTCCTATTCTGTGCTTGGTTTAATTAGAAAACTGCAACCCGGACTGAGGATATTGTAGAGAGGTGGAAGGAGCACTTGAAGATCTTCTTAACCCATCCACCATGAACACCTTTAAGGAAGAAGAGATGGGGATTCAGGAGAAGACAAGTCCATTACCATGGCAGAGGTCACCCAAGTGGTCAAATAAGTTACCCATTTGCAAGGCGCCACAGCTAGACAAGATACACCTTGAAATGCTAAAGTATATGGATATTGTGGGGCTGTCATGATTGACACATCTCTTTAATCATCCCCCTTACTAAATCATTGACTGTTCTAAACATTTAGGTTATAGTGGACAAATGAGGTGTCACTTCTCAGCGAGAAAGTTACTGGATAGAATCCTGGCCAGGGGGCTTTCTGAGTGGAGTTTGCATGCTCTCTCAAAGCATGTGTGGGTTTTTGGCCAGGCCAAAAACATGCTTGTTAGGCTAATTGGTAGCTCTAAATTGTCCCTAGGTGTGAGTGAGTGTGAATGGTTGTTTGTTTTATTTGTCTCTATGTGTCGCTGTGATGGACTGAAGACCTGTCCAGGATGTCCCCCTCCTCTCACACAGTGACTACTGGACATTGGGCACCAGTGACCCCCATGACCCGAAAAGGAAGATGCAGTAAAGATAATGGATGGATGGATGGATGGATGGATGGATGGATAGAAAAAAATGTATACATGTACCAAATGATAAGACACTTTTATGTAAACTGGTAACACTTTACAATAAGGTACACAAAATTTGATTAACTATCAGGGAATGCTTCAGGAACAAATCAGAAGCTAATGGGTAGTTAACCAATACTTACTGGGGAACACACAGCCAAGCCTTATTAGGGGACTACTGGTTTGTTACCACAGAAACAGAGGAGAAATTCTCCATGTTGGGGTCTGAATAAACCCAGCACCAGTGAGTTCACAGCTCAGACATAGTTAAGATGACAGCAGTACAAGATTATGAAATTGCTGATCAGTGGTAAGAATCCAATAGAATCAGTAGGAAACAGGTTATTGACAATTACGAGCTGTGACCTCGTAACCAGTAGTCCCCTAATAAGGCTTGGCTCTGTGTTCCCCAGTAAGTACTGTTAACAACCCATTTGATCCTGATTCATTCCTTTTTGTTTTCCTTGGTAACTACCCATTAGTTCTTGAGTTCCTCTTCATTTACAAGATAACTGACCAGTAGTCCCCTAATAATGCTCGGCTGTGTGTTCCCCAGTACTTTTATATTCAAATTTTGTGCACGTTATTGTAAAGTGTTGCTAATTTGGGAAAATAACAGATTTTACAAGGCTTGTACAATTTAGTAAAACTGGTAAATATTGCTGATTTTATTTGTTTGGGCTTTTTTTTTATTTCCAGCCCACATTTAAATTAATATTCTATACATTATTTTAAAAGAAAGTTCAACACGAAAGTTTCATAGAAAACTGTTTTGTTCTTGTTTTAGTGATTCTTTGCTCAAGATTTTGTGGTTATGGACGCATTAAGGTGCAATGATAGTCATTTTATAATCATATTGTAACCCTATGAAACAGAATCATATAAAATTGTGAAGCACCTAAACAATTTAATCCATTCTGAATTATCTGAAAAATTACAAATCCTGAATGTGTACTTACTTATACAGGAAACAGGATGCATTTTGCCCTTGCTGCTTGTAATATGATGCTATGCCGTCATCACCCCCTAGTTTCTTGCGCATTCTGTCCACATCCAGCCTCCAACCATGTGTATTGTACTGGTACACGGCAGAGCAGCTCACTTCCAGCTGTAAGCGTGGAGAAAGGACTTGCTGCATTTTTTCTTCAACCATGTGTTCACACCAATGGCTGGAACAGAAAAATATGTTTTTAATGTGTCACTGTTTAGTGCAATTCAGCAATGTAAAGAGTTGTATCTGGGTTCTGAATTTCACTTTAAGCTAATATACACATATATATATATATATATATCATCATAGACAGACAGACAGACAGACAGTCAGACAGACAGACAGACAGACAGACATGCTTGAATTTGAACCCTTTAGAATTTTATATATTTCTGCATAAATTTGACCTAAAACATCATCCGATTTTCACACAAGTCCAAAAACTAGATAAACAACCCAGTTAAACAAATGAGACAAAAAATATTTTACTTGGTCATTTATTTATTGAGGAAAATGATCCAATATTACATATTTGTGATGGTAAAATTATGAGAACCTCTAGGATTAGCAGTTAATCTGAAGGTGAAATTAGAGTCAGGTGTTTTCAATCAATGGGATGTTGATCATGTGTGACTGCACTCACACATGATCAACAGTTGTCAAACAGGGTTCTTTAACTCAACTATGGTGCCCATGTTTGGCAACATGGTCCAGTTAGCAGCATGAAACTGTTAACGGTGTGGTTCAGTTAGACTCTCAAGACATCAGCCAGGAAGTTAAAGCTTGGGCGCAAATGGGTCTTCCAAATGGACAATTATCCGAAGTATACTGCCAATCTGGTTACAAAGAGGATCAAGGATAACAAAGTGAATGTTTTGGAGTGGCCATCACAAAGCCCTGATCTCCGACCTGTCAGAAATTTATGAGAAAAGCTGAAAAGGCATGTGTGAGCAAGACAGCCTACAAACATGTCTCAGTTACACCAGTTCTGTCGGAGGAATGGGCCTAAAATCCTGCCAACTACGTCAGACAGAGGCAGAGTTCCTTTATTTGTCACTCGCACCACATATGGTACATGTGGTGGAACAAAATTATGTACACAGGGTCCCAGTTACATCCAACAATAAAATGTAAAAGAAAAACAGTAATAAGATATGAACTAAGAAAAATGTTAACTAAAAACACACTAAGCACTAGTAGCATAAAAACAATACACCGAACAGCAGCACAAACATGAGTCTGAGTGAGCAGAGTACGAATGAACACAGTAACATGAAATATAGGATTATATATGTATTATAAATTATATATTATAAACAACAAAGTCCATGCTCAATAATCCAGGTGTAAAATCCAACATTTTTCAGTCAGGTCATCTGGACTGTTTCTTTTTTTTCACAAGCAGAACTGGTTTGTTCCGCTTTGGAGTAAGTTGTTGGGGGAATAATCACTTTTGTTTTGTGTTTCCTTGACTGATGAAGCCTTCAAAGAAACTGTCCAGATGACCTGACTGAAAAATGTTATATATTATAAAATTACATATATATAAATTGTGAGAACCTTGTGTAAGGACATATAAAATGTTTGACCCAAGTCATACAGTTAAAGGGAAATGGTACGAAATACTAATGAAGTGAATTTATACTTTTGATTTTGAAGCAAGTAATAAAACTGCCTAAAAAAATTCTAACTCTCATTATTCTGGCATTTCGCAAATAGAAAAAAACTTTGGTAATCATAATTGACCTAAAACAGGAAAAGTTTATTCTGACTTCACATCAGACAGTGTGAAAAATAAATGCATATGTGTCTTTTTAAATAGTGTATGTAAACTTTGT